TATGAAGACTGCTCAATGTCCCTCGGCGTCATCCAGCAACAAGGCAGAAAAGAAGGAAGAGAAAAAAAGAAGAGAGAAAAAACTACCTAAAACAAGAGGAAGTACTGAAGGAAGCTGCCTCTAAGGACCGGGTGCCATGGTCCCAGCAGGCCTGACCCCACCTCCCCGCAGGGCTCCAGGGCTGGGTGTCTTGGAGCAACGCTATCAGGGGGCCTTAGCGTCGGCCCTGGAGGGGAGGCGGTGCTTGGAGCTGAGAAAAAGTCGGCCCCAGGCTGCAGACCATGCCTCCTGAGACCGTGTGAAGCCCCCGTCTTGCAGAAGGAATCCTCTCCGAGCTCTGAGAACTCAAGGCGGGCTTACAAGTAAAGAGAGTTGCTCGTCTGCAGCCTCGGGTGGGCAGCCGGGGGCTGTCCCTGTGAGCCTGTCCATGTGACCCCCCCACTCGAAGCATTTCGTTTGCCCTCACAAGTGGGCTACACAGGGTAGGGTGAGGGTTTCTCTGGGGCACTGGAAGATACAATGTTCACAAACTTTCACCCAGATTCAGTGGTGATGAGAGCTGTTGGGAACGTCCCAAAGCCCCGTCGGTGAGTGAGCTCGCACCGCAGCATCCCGGTGAAGGCAGGAAGTCCCTGGGGTCTCCGATGGGGCACGGGAGCACTCTGCAAGCCTAGGCCAGCGTGGGTCACATGGGACGGCAGAGGGGACACATGGACCCAACGAAAAGGAAGTCTCCGGTACAGCCTGTAAACTTGAATCTGCGGGAAAGTCTAAGAATAAAAGCTAAGCCCTCTAAGCTATGTTTTTCATTCAGTGCGGGCCCACATAACAGGTTATTCCCAGGCATTTGATGGAGAGGCGCGATGCAAGCCTTTGGAAATGAGCCTTTACCACGTCCGCACAAACACAGTGAGGGAGGAGGAGAGGGTTCTCCAGGGAATACTGTGGGGCTCCCCAACTCCATCCAGGGAGGAGCTGCCTCAGAACTATCCAGGCAATGCTTAAATGCACATTGCCAGGCCCAGCCCTGGAAGAGATGAGTGGGCCCCGGGAATCAGCATTTTCTGGAAGTTCCCCAGACTTCAGCAGACCTCTGTGACATTGCCATTTTCATTCTCAGCATCCTGAAGGGTGTGGATGTTGCCATGGGCACATGGGAATGTCATCACCATGACCTTATAGTCAACTGTGACTTCCTGGGACTGAACTGGGAGAAAAGGACCTCTGGAGTCTACCCTGCCTCCCGGCCTGTCTTCCCCTACAGGGACTCTCCATGTGACTACCTTGATAACTAAGAGGACCCTGTTGATCTTGGGCTTCAGCCTAAAATGGCCGTAGGGTCTCTAAGGGAATCCAGGTCTCTCAAACCCTCCAAAGCTACAGTCTTGCAACACAGTGCGCTGTTTGTGTGTGTGTGGGTTTCCAGGAAGAAGACGAAGAAGAAGGATGCGATCGTGGTGGACCCCTCCAGCAACCTGTACTACCGCTGGCTGACCGCCATCGCCCTGCCTGTCTTCTATAACTGGTGTCTGCTTATTTGCAGGTGAGCAGCAGGGGTGGGAGATGCAGCGGAAAGGAGGGAACCAGACACCAGGCCAAGGAGGCAGAGCTCCAACTCTCACTCGGGAGGCCTGAAGCCTGGACCCCTCACGGCCACCACTTAGTTCTTGTGCCTCAGTTTCTCCCTCTAAAAATAGAAGGTTCCCCAAGGGGACCATCAGGGTGCTCTGAAGTGTAGGTGGAGAATTGAGCTTAAGGTGGACAGTCAGGGTTCCGGCACTATGGGGTCCCCTCAAGTGAGCTGTGCAAGGAGGATGCAGGGGCGTTTGCTTCTCTTTGTACAAGTGGGTGGTTCTGAATGTGCTGCAGGGTAGGGAGGCAGGGACAAGCTGCTACATTTTTTTTTTTTTTTTTTTTTT